GATCAATAGAAAACCTTGTATCGAAGAGTTCCACGAATCATAGTTTTGCAGTCCGATCCCAAACCATAAATCTCAGAGTACTTAGTGGAATCTCGGTTACCATACCCGATGAGATTGAAACCAGGCATGAAGTCTATAGGGTATAGATGATCAACAACTTTTCCAGATGGGATTTCCACAATCTGAGATAGAAATCTTGCATCCAGATATGTATGATATGTAATCATTACATTAAATATTTGGATTAGAAACAAGAAGGATTTACCTTCCCATCTTGTAGATACCTCGCAGGGTTCAGCAGCGCCGTAAGCACACCTTTGGGACTCCAGCTGAACTTGTATCGAAGAGGGTTATCGGAAGATTCAGGAGCAGGAAGGCCACCACAGAAGGAAACAAAAGAGGTTATCTTTAAAGAAAACATTATGCGGCTAAAGAAAGGTAGCAAATAATTTTTCAGAGATACACACCTTTCCACCATGGTCCTTAATCTCATCGATGCACTCCATCGCTAGCATATGATCAATTCCAGGATCTAGGCCAGATTCGTTCATTATAGTCACTCCAGCATCCTGTGCACTAAAAAGCCTTTATTCGCGCATGTAATTTAGATCCCTTCTAGAAGAATTCAAGTCAAGGAGCAACACCATATTAACATGAGGAGCACTGCTCCAAAATTAGATAATGAAGTTATTCAAAAGTTGAAAAGAATTTCCAGAAACTCACGCTTGGTCTAAAGCCTGAAGTTCCGGTGATACATAGCTGGAAGTTACCATATTCGTCTTATTCTTGATACACATCTTAGCCACCATGGGATGGAAACCAAAGGGTAGCAAAGACACCACTTGGTCATGTTCTCTGTAAAGTCACATTCACTTACCATTTATACAAAACCATAGTTTGAAACTTTACTTCACTAGCTGCTCCAACACATCGTGCTCCCTGGCCACGTCGACAACAAGAGGTGTGATGTTTTCACTCTTTGCTAGACGATGCCCGTCTTCACGAGACTCGGTGGCTACCGTCACATGCACCTTGAAAAAGCAATTGATTGAGCAATCACGAAAACAAGATATTCTTAGTGTCAACCTTGGATTGCTTCGAGTAGAAATCAGCAAATGGTCCGCTGACCATTCCAGCTCCAAGCAGCAGCACTTTCTTCTCATCAGTACCCATAACTCGCGATTTGTGATGTGAAGCCCTAAAAATTAACTGTTTGAAGTGTGCAACAAATGGGCCTTCAAACAGATAAAAGCGAGTTGTCCAAAAAACTAAAGGGTAGATTTGCGTTGAGGCACTTATTAGCAAGAATGCAATAGAAATTTTTAAAAATTTGATTCAAGAATTTTGGAGCAAAGTACATCTTCACAAATTATGTAAAATGTTCATTTCATTTGAATAATAGTTAAGTCAATTCTCATTTCTTAAGCAAATACGGTATCCTTAAACTGCCGACACATAAGGAAAAATTCACCACGGAATACTTGATGAAGATATGCAATCTATCAGACATAAGATGGCAAAAAATTTCAAAAAACTCAACTTTTCAAGAAGTACTTATACCGTTAGACAAAGGTTGTGGAAGCACATATTCAAATCTCAAAAACTTTACCAACATTCGGTATTTCAAACTATAAGGGGTTTAGAGTAAACGCTGATATTTCCCAAGGAAATTTCTTGAATCGCACAATTTGT